GTTGCATCAGAGAGCCAAGGTGCTGAAAAACGCCTTCAAACAATATTCTATTCCAAGATAGGGTGGAATATGTTCTAGATACAGAACCACCAATTTTAGAGCCTAATGCTAATGGTCAAGTCAGAAGGTGACTTGAAAAATAGTTAGAAGATGACAAAGTAGCTAGGACTACTATGTTGAGTTTTATGGAAGATGATTTAATTAGAGTATTTGAGGATCACACCATAGCTCGAACTATGATGGGTGCCCTATCTGAAAAGTATGGGACCACTTCTGAGACCCATGTGCAATTGTTATTAGAAAAATATAATTCATGAAAAATGAAAGAATCGGACTCAGTGACCAAACATGTCAATAAAATGACAGTGCTCGCAAAGGACCTTGCTGTGGTCAGGAATCCAGTACCTGATCACATGCAAGTTTCCATTATCCTTCATAGTCTCCCTCCATCTTGGGAGCCAATTATTTTGCATTAAACTATTCTGCACAAGGGATAACTATGTTGAATCTTCCCATGCGCCTCAGTATTGAAGCTAAGAGGAGAATGATGAAGAAATCAAATGAGCTCCACTGTTCATCTTCTCAGATCTCTAAGAAACCTTACAATAATCAAAAGAATAATAGGTATAAGGGAAGACATGTTTTTATTGTAAGGAAAGTGGACACATTAAGGTTAATTGTCCTACACGAAAAAACAAAAATAGGAACCAGGATAACAACCCTGCTTGAAATAATCAAAATAAAAAAAATGACTTGATCTGCATAATCCTAAAATCTTTGGTTGCCGACCATGATCTAAGGAATTAGTGGGTCAACTCAGCCTCCACTCGACATGTCTCAAGGACTAAGGACGGATTCACAAAGTTGAAGGAGATCGCAGCCGGTAACCAGTAGATTTATATGGAGAATGACAACTATTGTGATGTACTTGGTGTCGGTACTTTCAAGCTGTGTTTACGAGGAGGAACAAATCTCCTATCGATTGATACTTTGTATACGCCCAATATGAGGTGAAATTTGATTTTTGTCTCTAGGCTAGACGACAAGGGTTATGAAATAAGGTTCAGGTCTGGTCGGGTTACCATTAGGAAGCATTCTAGAGCATTGGTGTATGGTACTAAAGTTGACAATTTGTACCAATTGAATATTAATGAAAGTTCATCGTTTTATGGTTATCCTGATGTATCTTTCGATGCTTTTGTATGCATGTATGATTCATTTTTATAGCATTTAAGATTAGGGTATATAAATAAAAACAAAATGAATTAGATGGTTAAAAGAGGCTTACTCCCTAATTTAGGAGAAATTGTATTCAAAACATACGAGTCATGTATTTCTGATAAAATAACTAAGAAGCATTTCCCTAAAGGGAAAAGGTCTAATGAACTACTAAGTATTGTTCACTCTTATATATGTAGCCCATTAACTAAAATAATAAAAAAATACTTAGAGGTATGAAATATTTCATAACAATTATAGATGATTATTCACGTTATAGATATGTATACCTAATTAGTAAAAAAAATTAGATGCATTAGAAAAAGTTAAAGAATTTAAAGCTGAGGCAGAAAATCAGTTAGGTAGAGATATTAAAATTCTTCGAACGGATTGGGGAGGTGAATATTTCTTCACCGTATTTACTGAATTTTGTTAGGAGCATGATATAATTCACGAAGCAACCATGCCATATACAGCACAACAAAATGGTGTAGCTGAAAGAAGAAATAGAACTCTAATGGACATGGTTAGGTCTATGATGAGCCATTCAAATTTATTACCTCAATTAGTGTGTGAGGTTCTCAACACTGTAATCACTGAAATTGGTTATGTAGCCAATAGGTTAGACTATTGTGTATATGTCTGGAACAGTGAAAGCAATTTTGTTATATTGTCACTATAATAGATGATATTTTGATAGCTGGTAATGATACTGCATGATTAATCATACCAAATCATGGTTACATTCCCATTTTGAGAAGAAAGATATGGGAGAAGCCTCATATGTATTGGGCATTAAAATAACAAGAGAGAGAAGTTCGAGACTTCTATGTTTATCTAAAGAAAATTATGTAGAAAGTATTTTAAAGAGATTTAAGATGGAAAATTGCAAGCCTATAGATGTACATGTTTGTAAAGGCTTGAAATTGCCAAAGAAATGTGTCCATTAAATGATAGTGACAAAGCTGAAATGGAATGAATTCTATACGCTCAAGCTGTAAAATACATAAATTATATCACATTGTGTACAAGACCTAATTTGAGTTATGTATATGGTAGATTTCATAGTAATCTTGGGATGACTCATTAGCAAGCCATAAAAAAGATACTCAGATATATTCAGAAACCTAAAAATTACAAGTTGTGCTTCCAAGCTGACAACTTAGAAGTTACTGGGTACTCTGATGCAGACTTTGCAGGAGAGTCGGATGATAGAAAATCAACCTTAGGATTTGTATTCCTCTTTAGAGGTGGATGTGTTTCTTGGCCTAGCAAGAAACAAGGTTGTGTAGGTCGGTATACTATGAAAACCGATTATATTGTTTGTAGCAATGCTACAACTTATGTTGTCTAGATTAAACGCTTCATAAATGATTTGAGGCTAGTTATAGCGGACGGACGTGTTAAATTTTTTTGTGATAATCAGGCTATTATCTCATTAATTGGAAATGGAGCTTATAGTTCCAAAGGTAAGCACATTGAAATTGATTATCATTATATCTATGATATTATTGAAAAGAATGAAATAACTGTAAGCTATTTTTCATCTTCAGATATGATTGCAGACCCTTTAACAAAGGGATTGAGCTCAGAAATATTATCAAAGCATGTAGGTTTGATGAGACTTAGAAATATCTAGATCAGGAACTCCCAAATGGGATATTTTTTCTTTGATGTATTGGTCATGAAAGGAAAAGCTGCATTAGCGTGAAAACTCCCATGACATGAATTTGGATTTTTTTTGTTATGAGATATACAACTGCACTAACATGAGAAGCCTCATGACAATGATATGCTCATATATGTTAAATCCATTAAGTGGTAAAGACTTTATGATATTTCAATATATCTGGCCCTCATGGCCAAGTGGAGTTATTGGTACGTGTGGGTGGCCAAGAGGCCCTTAAACGTGTCATATTTCTCTCTCTTTATCTTCATCATATAGTTTAATATTTATTAATAAAATAGAGAATTCTTGAGAGATAATATGCCATTATCCAACGGGTAAAAAATAACTTCCCACCTCTTAGGATTGGAGAGTCACATTGCTCAAAGATTACAGGAGAAAGTCGAACATTAGAGAATAGCCTCCTCCCATCCCTCTTTAAGAAGGGTTTCATGGCTATGGAGAGGCACAGAGAAAATCATAGAGTTCTCATTGTTCTGGTAAAGCTTGATATCTGCAATCCCTAGTCTCACGACACTACCATCAATTCCTGTGAGTTTGTTCAGTCTATCTCTTCCCTCAAAAGTTCAACACTTAATACTTAAAATTTGATGTTTCTTGGAATTCTCTTAGCCAGGACTTTTGAGAGGTGTCTACATATTTATATGGTGAATGTAATTAAGTTGGGAACTCATAATAAAAGAATGAGAGGATTATGGGTTTCTCCTTTGATCGGAGGTCTTACGAATAACTTTGATGGAGGCTCTTGCCTAAATTCAATGGAAGCTCATTAGGTCACCCTGAATTGGCTGGCATGGGAAGATTCTTGGGAGATCACTTGGGTCATGTGTTGGTGTGTTAGTTGGGGTGTGTGTCTATACCACCACCGATGAAGCTGAATTGTGTGCCTTGGTATAGGGATTCAAAGTATTCTTGGAACTACAGGTTGCTTCAAAAAATACAATTCAATGGTATGAAAAAAGTGCAGAAAATCCCTTGAAATTCGAGACAATTTTTGTTGGAAATTCAGGATCAAATTTAGAATTTGACCATTTCTTCCAAACATGTTTACAAGCAAACAAATCAGGAGCAATTTTTTCTCTTTCTTTTCAAAACAAAGAGTCACATGGACAAAAACTTCATGGGATGGAATTATATTTGTTTTTCTTGAAAATGTTATTCAATATTCAGTACTCTTAGCCTCTCTCTCACATATAGAGAGAGAAAGAAGAGAGAGAGATGTCTCAAGGGAGGGAGGGAGGGAGAGAGCCTTGTTGTGCAACCAAATCCTTTGAAGACAGCATTATAGATGAATTGGAAAATCATAGTGATAAATTGCAAGTTCTGAATGCAAAACTGGTTAGTTAAATTTAATCAATTTTTTATTTTTTATAGAATTTGATATTTCTTTTCTGACTACTCAGTTGATTTCATTTACTTCGCAAAATATCTTCCAGTCATCTAAGCTGCCAACATGTATCAATATCTCACGGACAGACCAATAAAAGGATTACAAAAAAGATTTCTGGTACAACTTCTAATTTATTTGATGTCCAAAATATACGAGTCTTTCTCTTATGATTGGATACATATATTAGATAGAAAATCTATGATGTGCACAAAATATATAAATCCATAGTCTCACACTGAAGATTTATGATACATGTATATTACCCAGCTCTTTAGGTAGTACAACTAACAATTGCCCCACGACAGAAACCAACCAGCATGCGTTTTATGCCGACTATGGTTTGTGTGCCCAGGCATGTAGCCAGATTCGTACAAGTGCCCTCCTAAACTTGATGTAGAATTTGACATGGGTACATATGGTTTGATCACCAATTCTCAGTTTCCTTGGCTCCGATTTACCCATTGGGGTTCAGTCTTTCATTTAGCTCTTCTTGTTTGTAGTCTTGTATTTTCCATTGACTTCAATTAATAAAATCACACAAATACTAAACTGAACAAATAAAAGTGCAAAAATGAGATCGTTGTTTCCCTTGACAAGGTTTGGACGTATGTTCCCCGACATTCATGATTGAAATTCAGCAAAACAAACAAACATTAAAATTAACCAAGTGGCTTCAAAGAACAATTATAATTATCACGTGCAATAGACTTCTTAATATAAGATTTAGTATTATATGTATGGGAAGGGATTTACAAGCTTCTTTTGTGTTTTTTTTTTTTTCTTTTTTTTTTTTTTTTTTTTCTTTTGACAAGAAGTGAATTACATGCTTCAGTGAGCAATGTTACAGATCCTCACAAAGTCCTACACATAATCTCACAGGAGCGTTAGTTGATGTGAGTTTCTAGTAGTATAGTAATAGTACAAAGGAATAAGATGCGATGCTTGAAGTTGAAGATTTGAAGTCTACATACTTCAGTATGTAGGATTGTCTTCCTTAATTATTTATGGATGCTAGGCATATAAGCAGAGAACATGAAAGTGATATGTTGTGGTCAGTTCTGAATAGAGTTGTTGAATCATCAAAAAGGGTAAGGCGTTGGAGGGAAGGAGGTCCTCTTCACAAAGCGCCCCTTCATCCTGGGCCTCTTCTCCGCGTTGAGCTTTCGAACTTCATAACGGATCTTCTTCGAGAAGAGCCTGGTTCGACGTTTCTCACGGTACCTCGACACCCTCGCCTCCCTTCCCCCGTCACTGGCTGTAGCATTCCCAACTTCTGAATAAGTGCTCATCTCCGGCACACAATTTCCCTAGAAAATCATATATCCAATAATTTAGACTTTAGAATTATAATAGATTTCTATGTGTTTGTATGAGAGAAATAGATTGAGTGCCTGAGAGAGAGTTACAGTGAAAGGGTCTGGCCAGCAATCATCAGGGTTGAATTCGGGACGCTGACCAGTTGTCCATGGAGATCGACCCCATGCGCTGATGACTGCCTCATAGTCGAGCCTCAAGCTGATGCTCTTCTCCAACACAATCCTACACTTCTCTTCATCGTCTTCCCCAGCTGTTGTTGGTGTATCGTAGTCGAAGTTGAACTCAAGGGTCTCGCTCGACAGTTCCACTTCTGCAACATCCGGATGGTGGCTGCAGCCAAATATCCCATCTTCATCCTCCTCTTCTTCAACCTTTACCCTGGACGCCACACCCTCCTCCTCTTCCCTATAGTTATCTAGCAACCCCAGCCCTTCAATGCCAAAGGCATCCTCATCAAGCCCCTGCCCCAACAAGCTCTCCACATCGGCTGCAAAGTCGGCCAGGTCCATATCCAATGACGGTATCGCAGAAAACTTGGCAACAGCCATTTCAGCAGGAGTATCAATCGTTGGCTTGCAATCAGCCGGAGTTGCACGAGCCGGAGAAGAACGAAGATCAGCTGCCATGGGCTCGAACACCGGAACCTGATACAGGAGCTGCTCGTCGACTTCATCAGGCGATGACTCCTCTTGCATCTGTGGCACTACTAAAGGGTTGGCATGCGGCTTAGCACCATCGATCGGGTTCTTCATGTTCGGGTGTGGCCGCATGCTCCTAGCCTTTCCCCGCTGCCACGATGGCAGTACAAACTCACACCTATGTGAAGATGAAGTCTTGAGGCGGACGCGGTCGTGGCGCCGAGCCACTGAGTTTGCAGAATGGATGGTGCCATCACAAGCATGGCAAAGGAAAGCATCATCAGCCGCACAGTACCATCGCGCACGGCCCTTGCCACAGGAGTCGCATGGCCTCACCGTCTTAGCCCCAGCTGCTGCCGCCACCACCGCTCGCCTGCTCTCTGCAGAGCTCGTCATGTCGCGTCACCTCGCTTCTCCTTAGCTCCGAAAAACCACGGACAAAGTGAGAGGCGCTGTTATTTAGAGGCCACCTCAGTGATGAACAAGAATATTAACAATAATAATAATAATAATAACGATGCAAATGGTGGGCCTTCGACTGAGTCCGATTGCCTTTTGAGGCTTTACGGGGCTTTTACGGCCTTTTCAGGGTTGCGCTTTTGCAGGTGTGGGCCCCTGGGGAGGGCCTTATCTGAATTGGGATTGGTGGAATGCGCATGTTGATCTAAAACGGAGAACTACCATTGGGCGGCACTTTTTTCACACGGATTCCCAGGAGGGGCCACCGCCGTCGCTCTCCTTCCCTCTAATTCGCCCTAAGCAACGTGAACCTATTTTGTTGCTTTGTTCGCCCCTTCAATAATTTCGCCTTGGGGTCCCCTTTCAGATGCTGCCCCAATCTACCTTCCATGTCAAATGTAACTTCCATTACCGAACCGCTCATCCATTTCACCTACAAAAATCCCTCTTTTTTTTTTTTTTTTTTGGGTAATTCATTGGGGAAGACAGACACCTACCCATTTTTTCAAGTAGATTAGGAGTTAGTTTTTTTAAAATATTAATGGGGTGGTGTTAGGGGTAGGAATGGATGTCACATCATGGTGACTATGATATGAGGTACTACCACCACGACCCCAACCCGTTTCCCAAAAAAAACCCCTCCTACCAAGCAAACATGAGTTTACCCACTTTTATACATATTTATTTGTATTCCTGATTTTCATACTAGTATCTTTTTAATTTTAGGCGATTCCAACTAATTCGGTTAAGGCAGTGACGATGATGATAAAGATGACGATGATGATGACAATGATTGTTACAATTTTATGTGATCTTACCATACAAGCCTTCTTTCCCTTAAAAGTCTGATGACGTCCGTCCCAAAGTGAAATGCTAATAAGTTCCAATAATTAGTGCTATTCTCTATATCCCTAATTATATTCAAATTTATGTGCTAGAGGTGTGACCACATGTGTGTTCACACAAAAATCATGTGAACAACAAGAAATGGCAATTTAAACTCAAGAAACAAAACATTTAAATGTTTCAAAAAGCCTAGCCTCCATATGATGTTACCTCCTTGAACAACACGAATCAAGCAAGTAAAAACGGAGAAAGTTTATATAAGTTGTCAACCTTATAATGTAGAAGTAAGGTGTACCTCAAAAATCCATCATAAAAGGTTGTTTTTACCGTGGAACTCCCTCCAATTAATCGACCTCAAGGTAAATGAATACAGGAAAGGAAAAAAAAAAAGATTTCAAGTCCTAAAAATAGTTCATTTCCTAAATTGATATTTAACCGTCTATTTTCAATATTTTCAAGCATTTATAGATCTGCTTGATCATCACTGTTTTGGGATTTTATAGTGAGAGAGTAGATTTTCTAACGCCATAAGGTTGACACCAAAACTACATCTTCCAAAAGAATTTTAAGGTGTGTCTTATTTTGATTGCTTAAGGTGGATGCCTTATACAAATCTCACCCAAACGAAAATTGTCTCATGACTTAAAAATGATCAAACTTTTGGGACGAAATTACGACTGTGCATTTTGGGTTTCCATGAATATGCAATAATTTAGTTATTTTTGGAAATCAATATTCAACAATTTGGGGCATAAATGTTTTATGATTGGGTTTTGAGGCGAATGTATACTCCAAGGCCTTACCAAAAGCTCATTAGGTTTACAACCATATAGCATAGTGTTACATTCTTTGAAAATATTAAATTTTTTTAAAAAAAACACATCATCATCTAAAGGGTACTATTTGAAAATTATTGGTTGCAACAATGTTTTAAAAGCGATATAATGCTCAAGCCGATTTTTTGTTATTAGTACACACAATAAAAAATATGGATGGTATCATCTTGGCTCAAGAGATGGTTCATTCTGCTAAGCCTGCAGGGGCCAAAGCTTCAATTTGTTAAATGGATTTTCAAAATGCTTATCACAGGTTGGAGTGGGACTATTTGGACCAAATTTTGGCTCTCATGGGTTTTGAAAAATAGTGAAGTATGTAGATCCATGGTGTACTTTCATGTACCCATCTTGTGCTTTTAATAAACAGCAAAGCAGTTGGCTGCTTCAAAGCATCAAGAGGCCCTAGGCAGGGAGATTCACTTTTATCTATACTTTAGTGGGAGAATTTTTCTGTTTATTGCTTGGTGGGGTTGTTAATAGTGGCATGCTTAAAGGTATACCAACTTCTAACATTGGCCCTAAGGTCTCTCATTTGTAATATTCGGTTAATACGCTTGTTTATTTAAGGTCTCCTTCGATCAAGTGATAATTTTATGGCTGATTTTTAAGTGCTATCAATTGATCTCAGGGGCTAAAATCAATTTGACAAAGTCCAAGCTTATTGATAGCAATTGTTCTGAAGAAGAAATTAGATGGGCTAAGTAGATGGGATTTGTCTATCAATATTTTCTAGTCAAATCTCTCGGTATTCCCTTAGTAGATAATAGATTGAGTCTGGCTTCATGGGACCATACGATTGAGAGATTCCATAATAAGTTAGATGGATGGAAGGCAAGATATTTATCTCTGGAGGCAAAATTACATTAATAATGGCTACCTTAACTAACATACTAATCTACTTTTTGTTCCCTCTTCAAAGAACCAAAGGTTATTATTTAGAAATTTTGATGAAAATCTTCCAACGCAATGGAGGGGCAGAGCATGAAATTTTGATGAAAGTCTTCCAACGCAATGGAGGGGCAGAGCATAAGAAATACTTTCTGGTCCGGTGGGAAGAAGTATGTTTTCCGAAAAAGCTTGGTGACCTAAGGTTCAGAAGACTTCAACATTTCATTGAGGCATTACTGATTAAATGGTGGTGGAGGCTATTGGAAGACACTACGTGCGGAAAATAGTACTCTTCAGTAAATATGGAATAGACGCCTCTAGCTTTCTAACTAAGGTAAACGGTGCAAATACCTATGTAGTATGGAGAGGTGTTGAGAATGTGAGACCCTTATTCTTGACTCATGTGAGGATATTGGTTGGTGATGAAAGGAAACTCAAATTTTCTTCAACAAAATGGATAGTAGATCAATCTGTACAAATCCTTTTTTTAGAAGTATGTAGGCTTGTTATCAACAAATCTTGCCTTATCAAAGTTCTGGTGAGTGGGGAGGGATGTAACGTTGTGTGGGATGTCAAGTTAAGGTACATAAGAGTAAATTATGACTTAAAATATCAGTTTCTTGAACTTCTAAACGTCTTTCACTCTCACTTTCATTCCCCTGGGAGAGAAAATGGGCTAATGTGGGAACTAGAAGTAGGGGGAAGCAACATAATTAAATCTTTATATCGGGCTTTTAACATGGAAAGATACTTTAATATCCTATTGGGAGCTTCAAAAGAATGGAGTTCCATGGTTCCTCACAAGGTTAAGGCCTTTGTATGATTAGTACGTAAAAATAGAACCTTCACGTCGGAGATAAGTGTTTTCTCATAATGAGTGTATTTTATGTAAAAAAGATGTTTAAAGTAATGATCATCTATTCATGCATTGAGATTTTTCCATTAACTTGTGCAGATGAGTTTTTTTCAAAATGCAGTGTGCCTAGCTTATGCCTGAGACAGTCTAACAAATGTTAGTGCAATTGAATTCTCCGCCATTTTCAAGGATTGATTCAGCGGAGGAATACAGTGACAATGACCTTATGACATATTTTGAAGTAAAGAAATTCACGAGTTTTTTCAAACAAAACGAGGTGAATTGATCTTCTTCAGCGACTTATCTTAAGAACTATTATTCAATTTACAAAAGCATATGAGGGCTTTAGAGGTGTTCTGGTGAAGACACCTATTTTGGCGATCTCATGGTGTTTAACATTAGAAAAGCAACATTTTGGAAGCATCTACCTATCATGTGGGATAAACTTAATTTTGATGGGAGAATTAGAAATAATGCGTTAGTAGCTGGCTATGGAGGCGTTTTATGAGATGATAGGGGACATATCGTGTGGACCATGCAGGGACAACTTCCCCACTGCCAGGCTATTGAAGTAGAGCTAATTTGCCTCAAATTTTTATTTTAGAGCTGTTTTTATATCTTTCCATTAATTCTCAATGGATGATGTTAGGGTAAGGCTCTAATTATAGGAAATATGGAAACGCTACACCTTTAAATACTGCCACTGTAGGATTCTATAGTGAATCCCGATTCTATGGTGAATTTTGAAAGAAGTAAAAACTTTGAAAAAAAACCGATCAGATAGAAATTGTATACCTTTTCTGGATTCCAACGCCCCATATGTGTAGTTTATACAATCTTTCCATTCCTTTCATCGCACGTCTTCTCTAACTTGAGAAGTCGATCCTCGCAACTTTAGCTGAATTTTGATTGTCAGAACTAGATATGACGTACACAATGCAAACACCATGCTTTTGATGGATAGCCCAAAAGCTCTTGAATCAGCTATATGTTTTCTTATTCATGGGTTTTAAGAAAGAGAAACATTAAATGAGAGAGAGGGGGGAGGCTTTGGGTGTAGTGAGGGAAATTTTTGTTGAGACATACGAGAGTCTCATAAGAATTCTTTATTCTCTCTCTCTCTCTCTCTCATTATATATGAATATCCTATGAGCAAACCATATCCTAAATGGGAGTTATCATTCCTATTTTAGATATTATCATATTTATCCTCGATTAGAATTCTATATGACATAGGATTCCATTTTCTTTTCTCTCTACCATCAATGACATGGTCATCCTCTTCTTATTAACCACAAAGAATATTGAAAATTTTGTGGAGATCCATTCACCTTCAAAGCATAGACTCCAAACCCAACATCTCCCACTTGTCATATAGTGGGTGCAAAAGCAGATGTCAACTCTCATAATAATCATGTAGTGATACATCACAATACAAGAACTCATCCTTACTTTATCGGGAAATATATTGCGTGAACTTAAAGAATGATGTATCCATGCAGAGAAAACATATTAAGTCTCCATCAAACTAACATGAAACCTCGATTCTTTCTTAAACAAATATGCTCCAGTCTACCCTAGATATACTATGCCACACCATATCGAGTATCCCAACTAATCTCTCATGAGCTATCTATGCTCAAGAGACTACTC